TTCTTTTAAGCCTTGTATTCTTAAATAAAATACATAAGGGGTGGGGGGGGGGGGGGGGAAATTTAATTTCTTTACAGAACGACTTAGAATAAGTATATGGTCACTTCAAATGTACACCGGTCGGCATGCATTAAAATGAAATTTCATTGAATACAGCTCTAAAAAGGATTGCCTCCGCAATATACAATACATAAACATGACAAAATAAATAAAGATTATCCACATATATGACATAGAGAAACAACGTATACATGTAAATGGCGAGAAAAACAATTCCTGTGAGTTTACCAGACGAATGGCATAGGGAGCAAAGTTGTCTCCAACAATGCTTTGAGCTCTAAGCATGCAGCATCCCGAATAACGGGAAGCGAGCTTCCTAGAATCTTCTCCACTGTCCTCACCACTCTGTATGGACTTTCTATCTGAGGCACAGCTGCCACCAAACCAAACAGGGATGCAGTTTGTTAAAATGCTCTCAGTTGTACCTCTGTAAAAAGTGGCCAGGACAGGAGAAAGAGGTGCTCTCCTCATCCGACACAGGAAATGCAGATGCTGGTTTGCACGCTTCACTAAGGATGACGTGTGAGAGAGCAATTCAGATTGTTAGTTATCTGCACCTCCGGATACTTAATATTGTTGTCTACCTCCATAGCTGCATCCTTGATATTGAATGGAGTATGACTGTGCCAGCTGTTTCTAAAATCTAAAACAACTGGCTGAGTGAGTGATCTACACAGTAAGGAAATCTTCCCTGGTAAATTGTCAGACAATTTGAAAGTGATTTTTCTCCTAATAAACAAATTGCGTGTTCACATATCAATAATTTTAAGCCAAAAAGTGAAGTTTCGGTTGTATAAATAGCACTTGGACTTATATACCGCTCCCTAGTGCTTTACCGCACTCTCACGGTGGTTTACGGAGTCAGCATCGTGCCCCCAACAATCTGGGTCCTCATTTTACCGACGTCGGACGGACAGAGCGCTGAGTCAGCCTTGAGCCGGTCAGGATTGAACTCCAGGCTGTGGGGAAAGTTTGCCTGCAATACTGCAATTTTAACACGTATTCACTAAAGAACGGTGGCAAGGAAGGTGGTTTAACGGGGTGAGACTCGCTTAACCAATGCCTCACTTAGCGACAGAAACATTGCGCTCAATCGTGGCTGTACGTCGAGGGGCTACCCGTACTGGGCTTCCTTGTGCAGAGTTCGCTTGCCGTTGTGAGAAGAGATTTGTGGAGTAGAAGAACCGGGGGTCTGATACCACAGGGCTTTTTGTGTTGTCCTTATTTTGTAGTCGTCTTTGGTAGCTGTTGTGGCCTGTTGGCCGCCAGCCCCTTCGCCAGCCAAATCGGAGGAATCTGCATCCAAAAAATGGGCAGGGGGGGCACCTCAACCTCCCCACCCTCTTTTTGGCCTAGCACGCCTCCCTGAAGCCTCCTGGGGATCAAAAACAGGCAGGGGGGTGCCGCAACTCCCCCAGAGCCCGTTTGTTGCCTAGCAGGCCTCCCTGAAGCCTCCTGGGACCAAAAATGGGCAGGGGCCACCGCAACCCCCACCCCCACCCCCAGTTTTTGGCCTAGCAGGCCTCCCTGAAGCCTCCTGGGACCAAAAATGGGCAGGGGCCACCGCAACCCCCACCCCCACCCCCAGTTTTTGGCCTAGCAGGGCTCCCTGAAGCCTCCTGGGACCAAAAATGGGCAGGGGCCACCGCAACCCCCACCCCCACCCCCAGTTTTTGGCCTAGCAGGGCTCCCTGAAGCCTCCTGGGACCAAAAACAGGCAGGGGGCACTGCAATCCCCCCATGACCCATTTTGGGCCTAACAGGCCTCCCTGAAGCCTCCTGGGACCAAAAACAGGCAGGGGGCACTGCAATCCCCCCATGACCCACTTTGGGCCTAACAGGCCTCCCTGAAGCCTCCTGGGACCAAAAACAGGCAGGGGGCACTGCAATCCCCCCATGACCCACTTTGGG